TTCTTACCATCAGGCATGAGTTCCAGCACCAGTGTGGCGTAGGCATAGTTTGTGCAGCCGACTTCAGTGCCACAGTATTTCATACACTCGGAAGGTACAACACACGCCACCCTATCTGAGGAGGAGTTCAGAGGGGAGTTCAATGAGCTGGGGTCAAATAGGCCCAACCCATGACCACTGGGCAGAAAAACAAGTTGTAGATTTGCAAGGGAAAAAGATGTTTGTTTAAGACTGGGAGACTCAATGTTGGATAGTCATTGCTGAATGATCATATCACAGATCTGGCTGCTCTGAGAGCCAAGCATGACTTCTTACGAGTCCCACATCTGCAGTGCCCCCTTTTACTGACCTAAAGGACAGGGCTCTTCTTTGGGATGGAGGTCCAGCTAGAACATGAGGGAGAAAAGAGGGAGCTGACCATCCTCTGGCAAACCAGCAAGGGAATAAATTCTTCCAGGAACAGAGAATTCCATAGATTAAAAAGCAAAAAATAAAACTAGTCACATGTAGCCTAGTCACATGTTGCCTAGTGTCTTCCATCTGTATCTAAGATTTGCCAATCGTGATGATCAATTGGGTGGCTGCCTCTGTGTGATGTCTCACCGTATAGTTACAACTGCACAGTACCTTCATGATTCCTTTTGCTTAAACACTACCATGAAAACAGGGAGCAAAAATTGATAATTACCCCGAGTAGTAACACCTTAGAACATTACTTCATTTCCTTTTAAAAAATTTCTTTTAATCCTTTTCCACAGAGGAATGTATTTTTAATAACTACAGAAGTTGCTTAGATAAAAGTTTATAGCTGTCTTTCCTTTTTTTTCCATTGTATTATGAGTCATAGTTTATTGTGGTGAAAACATACAATAAAACATTCACCATCGTAACAACTTCCTCATGTATAGCTCAGGGACATTGGTGACATTTTTCATGTTGTTTCACCATTATTGCTGTCCTTTTCCAAAATATTTCACCACCATTATCTTAAACACCACCTTTTTCTATTCAATATAATGTCACAATTTTCCCAAGTTTTGAGATAGCCTTTATTCTTTTGATTGCAATCTTCCATAGAAGAGGTATAAAATAATTTTTTTAGTCATTCCCTGCTTGTTGGACATCTATATATTAT